CTAAGAAACCACACATGGAGGCAGCAGAGAGAGTTCTTAGATGCTTGAAAAAGTATCCCGGAACAGGTCTACTATTCAATAAACATAATCACCTAAAGGTGGAAGTCTTTACAGATGCTAATTGGGCTGGTGTTGTGAATGACAGAAAGTCCACGAGTGGATATTGTACATTTGTAGGAGGAAACCTAGTGACCTGGAAAAGCAAGAAACAAAGTATGGTAGCAAGGTCAAGTGCTGAAGCTAAATATAGAGCTATGGCACATGGGGTGGCTGAAGTCCTTTGGCTAAAAAATCTTCTATGGGAGCTTGAAGTCGTTGTTCATAACCCTATGTCTCTTTACTGTGACAACAAGGCAGCCATAAACATCGCCAGCAACCCTATCCTACATGAGAGGACCAGGCACATTGAGGTAGACAAACACTTCATAAGGGAAAANAAAAAAGGGAAATTTGCATCCCTTATGTCAAATCCAAGGAACAACTCGCTGATGTCCTCACAAAAGGGCTTCCATACTCGCGGCACAATGAGTTATGTGACAAGYTGGGCATGATARAYATATTCAGCCCAACTTGAGGGGGAGTGTTGTGAGGATTATTTAATTGTTATATTATAGTTGTTGTTAGTGGGTTGTCAGCTTAAGATGTTGTTAGTTAGTTATTTTATTTCTTTCTTATTAGTTTGTTTCTAGGGAGTGCCGCCAGGGGCATACTTGTAATCTCCTTCTTTTTATATTAAGTTAATATAAATAATGAATTGGCGGCAACCAGAAGATATTTTTTTCTTTTTCTCTCAATCATATATTCCTCTTCTTCTCTTTCTCTCTCTCGTCTCTCTCTCTCCATGAATGATTACAATTACATTTACTTTTTGGTTCAGGTTTAAGACAAGGGATTTGCAAGGAGCTTGATTTGATTCTTTTTTTTCTGTTTCCTTAAAGGTTCACAAGAAATGATGATTTTGTGATGCTTTTTTCTTACAAATAACATCCTTTGTTTTCTTGGTGTTCCATTCTTTTCTTTTATGAATCTTGGTGTTTTATTCTTAATTCTTGTATTTGTAAATATACTAATAATAGCACAACAGGGAAAACAGATTGATCCAATAATTTGGGCACCAAAGTATCATGAAAATTTTCTATTTTTCTTTTTGCAATTTTTGTATGTTTTGGGTCATAAGTTCAGTTTGGTGATCAGCTGTGTTTTACTGGTGTACTTTCTTTTCCTTTAATAAATTTTATTTTACTACAAAAGGAAAGTAGTTTGGTTATTTTACATGTCATGTAGATCCATCCTAGAGTTAACTTTTTTTTGATAATAACAGAAAAAGAAATTTTATTAAAATAAGAATCACAAATTACATCCTGGTGTAGAGATTACACCACATACCATTACAAAAATCTTTCCAGATTACATTCTTGAATCTCAATTGCACTCCAAAAGGAAGACCCTAGAGTTAACTTAACGGCCTAGTCTTTTTTCTTTCTTTGATAAATATGGCCTAGGAATGAGCTTGGGGATGTAATAGCTTTTTTCTCAGGCCCAATTGGAGAAGGTGATTCTCTTACGGCTGAGATTCTGGCAGCTGTGAAAGGAGTAAAAAGAGCTAAAGACTTGAATATAAGCTGATCATAGAAGGAGATTCTGAGATTGTAGTGGGCTGGTTAAAGGAAGACAAAAATGATCTCTGGCATTACAGCAATGAAAAGAGAAAGTTTAAGTGGCTGACAAAGGATATTGATGTAAAATGAACTTGGGTGAAGAGAACTACAAATTCCTTTGTCAATGGGTTAGCTAGACAAGGGGTAAATAGGGATTCTGTTTTCTGGGCTCAATTGTAACTGCAAGCTCTTCTTTTGGATGGCTTTTGGCCTCCTTCAGGAGTTAAAAAAGTTTAGCTCCCCTCCCTTGTATCTTATTCTTTTTTATTAATGGAAAGTTCTGTTACTGATCAAAGAAAAAGGCTGGGGGATTTGGTACACAGGACCTATATACAGTTAAAGGGCCCACATAACTTGCCACCTGTCCTGTGTTTGGAGCATTAGAGCCCACCATCAAATGGGTTTTACCAACAAGATCAGCTGGATCAGAAATCATCTTGTACAGAATCATCTAACTGCTATACAATATTTAAATGGAAAGTGGAGAAAAGTTTTTCTTAAAGTTAAGAAGTAGTTCTATAAAAATGTGCACATCAGACGGTTACAGTTGTCTGATTACAGTGCACAACCATAGTTTTAGCAGGGAGACACTCAATGGTTGGACCTAGTTCTTGAAAAAGGAACAAGTTGCAAGTTAATGGGGCCCTAGAGTTGTATCCCCAAACCCAAGATGCTCCATTTAGGAACCAGTCTTTGGGGGCCATTACTTAGTGTAATGGTAAAATCTTGGGCTCACAAGCATGACAAAATGGGTTCAATTACCCCATAGCTGGGACCAACATTGGGTAATATTTTACCGTTGCACCAAGTAATGGCCCCTATAATAGCAATAAAAGCATGCACTTAAAAACAGATACATTGGATTCCTTCATTTTTCTTTTGGTTTATCAACAACAAAAAGCATCATTTATTTGAATTAATTGGAAACTGACTCGATTTGTTGGATGAGTAGGTTGTTCCCAAAGTAGAAAGAGTAGTAGATGAAGTCCTGTTGGTAGTAAACCATTTTCTAAAAATAGACACCACTAAGAATAAGAATAACCTGGAAAGGAGCCCTTTTCCATGATAAAGAGAAATCAAAATCACTTGTTTACATACCTGGTGAGATTCAAAAACTCCAGCTCTTGGTAATTATCGGCAATTAGGTGCAAGCTTTTGTCTGTGATATTCTGTGCATGACATCGAATATAATGTTATCAGCAAAAGATCTTTGCAAGATAACAAATCTTAAAATTAAATAGTTGGAGATGAATTCAGAACATGATTATACATGCATAAGAAAAAAGAAGACAAAATATATCTTATGATGAAAGTACCATGTATTATCCATTGTACAGGGATATTTCAGATTCCAGACTAAATAGAACCATTCTAGAGACAATATAATACTTTGCTTTTTCAAAAAATAAGAAAAGAACCATTCTAGATACCATGTATCACAAGATATTCTAGATATCTTGTGATGAAAGTACCATGTATTATCCATTGTACAGGGATATTTCAGATTCCAGACTAAATAGAACCATTCTAGAGACAATATAATACTTTGCTTTTTCAAAAAATAAGAAAAGAACCATTCTAGATACCCCAACAGCATTTGTTTACTTTACTTTTTAAGTTCCACACATTCAAGTCTGTTCTTTATAAATCATATTAATTTTCCTTTTGGACAAAATATATAAAATACAATCAAAGAGCACACTTACACTTAAATAGCTTTTTTTTTTGAAAGCATAGCTTCCATTAAAGAAACAATAAAAAACTGTCTTATTACAGCACTGCTTTCTAAATTGCAACCAGACAACCAATCAAAAAAATGGCAATCAAACATGATAGAGAATTTCCTAATTTTTGTTAATTGATTACAACATTGGCAATCACTAAAGTTTCTGAACCCTGCACTACCATTAGTCAACTGTATCACTCCCACTGGTTCTAACAACCCAAGCTACTTCAGGATATTTATGTGCAAAAATTTATTTACCCCAAAAAGATGGGAAACTCTTCTAGTTATGTTTATTTCTCACCAAGTACTATGACTACAAGGATAGATCATAATAATGACCACTAATCCTTAAGCCAAATTGAAATGGATGGTTAAGGACCAATTAGCAGGGCAGGGAATTACTTCAACACGTGGTTAACAAAGATACAGTTTTAATGCTGCAGCAAGATGCAAAATCTAATTCAAATGAAGAGACAGACAGACAGGCAGAGAGAGAGAGAGAGAGAGTACAAAAACATACACAAACATATAATCATTAACAAACACAATTTTATTCATTAAAGATGTAGAAATGATAAATACAAGAGCTAGACATAATTTATCTAGCTGCACCCCCCATCCCATGATCTACCACAACCCATACAAGATTTCCCAATTTTCTGCCCTAAGACAGAAACCCAGTTTAGATCTTCTTCATCGACTCCTTACCAAAGAACCTGCTGCAGAGTTGGCTGATCTTGGAACCCATCTGAATAAGATATTTGCACTGGATACCAAGGATCTAGCCTCTCTTATTGCATGCACATGCGTCCAAAGACTAGTTTCAATGCTCTCCATCCATCTCCAATTATAACTTGTGGATATGGCTTTAAATAGAACAGATTGACGAAACAGGATTCATGTAGCCAACTCCATATGGTTGGGATAACAACTCCATATCGAATCTCCTTCAATAACTAATCTTCCATAACCCAACGATTTGGCTAACTTCAACCTTGTAAAGGGATAACAATTCTGCACAGGTTTAAGTCCCCTCTTCACTTTCTCTCCCCTGGCTTCTTCCATTTCTGTAAAAGCTCATCAAGGTGCCGCACAAACCTCCTTCCTCTAAAGCATGTTGTACCACTTAGTTTATCTTTAGACCCAACAAAGGCTTCACTTATATCCTTAGGTTGATTGCTATGTGTTCTAATAACAGCTAAAATTTAAGTTCAATCAATTCATTTCTAGGGAGCCAGGTATCCATTATGAGGTCTAACATCAGGACCACAAATACACTCAAGGTCTAATAGCAAGACCCTGCCATTAGGAAGGTAGAAAAAAGTAGCTTAAACAACAAAAAAAGGTAAATATGAAATGATACCAGTCTACTACTAATGTCCCAAGGACAACTGAGATATTGACTGAGACCTTAACAAAATGGAGAGAGAGAAGGAGGAGGGTGAAAATCTTATCTCTCATTTGAAACTATTTCTTAGAAAAGAAATCAATTTAATCAGATTTTTCCACATAAGGCACCAATAAGATAGATATAATCTATGGTTTAAAATGTTATTATACAATTTCTTCTGAAAATGGTGAAACATGTGATTAAGAGAGCAACATGTTCTAGACAAAACAAAAAAAAAAAAAAAAGCTTCATATCAATAATGCATACAGACATTTACAGTACCCAATTTTAATGTGGATGTGACAAAATGATGACAATGATATTTTCAAATCTAAGTGTGAAAGAGCATTAAAGATGCAGATATAAGCATATACAATGTAGAAATCAAGTACCTTACAACCACTCAAGTTTAAATCAACTATATATTTGCAGTGATCCACCATATGCTTTATGCCTAAATCTGACACCCTGAGAAAAACAATATCTCACAGCTCATTAGTAGCAATAAATAACCTCAATCCAACAACTACGTTGACAAACAGGTGAGCATCAAGTACCTCACATTCCAATAGATGGATAACACCTTGAGTTTAAGGCAAGCACTAGTTACAGCTTCAAATCCCTTATCAGAGATCTTCTGGCAGCCATTAAGATTTAGAGATTCCAAATCTTGAAGTGCCTCCATGCACTGTCAAGCCCACAACTATCACTATAATAGCAATTTTTGTATGGTAAAGATAACGAATTGTATCAATAATTATAAGAAAAGTCAATGTCCATTTGCAAAAAAGTTACATCAATGAAAGCAAACTGTCAAAGGCACCACCTAGGCGACTAAGAACCTATGGAGGGTTGCCTTCACTAAATGCCTAGTTCCTTTTGTACAAGGCGCTTATAATATTTTTTCTTTTTTTTTTRTGAGTATATAATATTAGAAAAGATGTTGTTACACTTATAATATTTTCATAATTTTTTTATCAGTCATAATATTTTCATAATTCATATACTAGTTTCTTTTTGTGAGGGCACAAGTCAGTGGACAGTATCCTGAACTCTTTAACACTTGAAAACCTCAACTACTAAGCAAGGAAGATTTTATCCGTTAAACACTCAAGGCGCATAAGAGTAACTGAGGTATGTCTTCTTCTTCTTCTGACCCTTTCTTTTCTTCTTTCTCTAGGACAAAAACAAAGGTGCCACCCTTTCATCTCTTCTTTATTTTATTTTCTTCCCTTTCTAGGACAATCTTCTAACAGATATGTTGATATTCTAGTTTAGAAATGAAGTTCAAACTTATTTGATGAGGATTATTGCTAATTACTAGTAAACGATGATTGATGGTTGCTACAAAACCTAGGAAATTAGCCTAGGATTTAGGTTTAAAAAACTATCACCTAGGCGATGCCTAGGCAGTTAGGTACTCGGTACTCCCTTGTCCCCTAGTTTCATCTTGATAACTATGATTGAAGGTTTAATCATAGACGGTTCCATGATAAACACTTCAAAAACTCCTACATTTAGAACTGCAAAATTCCTTCCGGAATGGAGGAAGTAAGAGAAAATAGCATTTTTTATAGGTAAGAGAAAATAAGCATTCTTCCCCTCAACATGACATTTAATCTTCTTTTACACTCAATATCCTCATGGTTCTTTCCTTCCAAATACAATACACATCAATGGAAGCTAACAAACAAATATGTCCTCTTCTGCTAACATCCTTCACAGGTTATGCTTGAGAAAGAGCCATGTTAAACCCTAGAATTACCAACAGTCACTCAAGAAGCTTAATGAAGTATATCAAAATCTTCATGCATTATGTTTTTGATAAGTAACAGTACTTCAATAATTTTATTAATACTTTAATAGTAGAAAACCAACTTTAAAATGGTGTACACTCTAACTGCAAAAACAACATAAGCTGACAAATGAAATCTGCATCTACATAGTAATTTTGGTTCCTGCTTCACCCCAACATAAACTACAAATTGGAACACCTGACCTCCCTAGTAGGTCACCAATGCAATTTGCAGACCTTGGCACCCACTTGAATGAACAATTCAAGTTGGCTCCCAAACCTGACATTGCTAGTAGGTCAGCCATACAATTTGCAGACCTTGGCAATTCATGTTGGCTCCCAAACCTGACCTTGCTAGTAGGTCAGCCATATACAGTTTGCAGACCTTGGCACCCACTCGAATGAGCAATTAAAGTTGGTTCCCAATGTTCTTGCATGTCTTGCCAGAAATATATCCCTCTTACCTTCCTTCAAGCATTGAGATTCAATCAAAAGAATGAAAGTACAAATATAATGTCTATCCTTTTTTTTTATCAATATAATGTCTATCCTTCTCATGAAAGATAATCAATTTATATTCAATTTGAACTGATCCAAACATATCATTGAGAACAAACTAGTGAATTAATAAGGCAACTAACATGAAAGGACAGAAAAGTAAAATAAGTTTTAATCATATTTCTTGTCCAACTCTTCCATGCAGTATTGTAAAAGTTTAAATAAATAAATACTTACTATCTGACCTTAAGCTACATTTATCTGCATTCTCAAGTGAAAATGCCAATAAATATCTTCCTATTCTTCAAGAAGACAAAGTAACATATAAACCTGAATCAAAATTAGAACCTTACCTTGCCCTTAAGTTGAATGAGATGTTTGTCTTCAATATCTTGTGCAAACTCAAGGTTTATCTGCTTAATATGTTGGTATCTGGGCTGAAAAAGCGAATGTCTATGTCACCAATTTGGGATCATCGTTGGTAGCAAGGAGAAACTCATTCCAATCAGTTCTAATGTAAACTTCCATAAAATTTGACACAAAGATAAATAATACAAACCAGTGAAAGAGCAGCAATCAGCCGTTCACCAGCATTGTTCATCTCATGCAAATCAAGAACCTACAATACAACATTATCAAAGTCAAATCATAAAACTATTTACTCTCTCATCCACACACATTGTACAGTGTGGGTTCCAGCCAGATGCTAAATCAATTAACCCAGATAAATTCTTAGAGCCATATAACAAAAGACCATGTTGAATAAACAAGTGCAAGCTTTAGAAAGCTGTTTACATTCATAGATAGGCTTTTAATCCACTGTCATAGAAAGCATCAAAAAATGTGATTAGTTACTGAAGAAAACATAATTCCACCTGCTAAGTAAAACTGATTCAACGGATTTGAAAAACTTGGGTAAGGTCCAACTAAGTTCTTTGAGCCATATAACAAAATGCCATGTTGGATCAACAAAAGTAAGCTGGTCTATATTCATAAGTATGCTTTTAACCCATTGTTATAGAAAGCATTGAAAATATGCGATTAACTATTGAAGAAAACGTAATTCTACTCACTAAGTTAAACTGATTCAATGGATTGGAACAAGTTGGGTTCTAACCAGAACCAAAAACAGTTCATTTGATGAAATTTCAAGACCCAGGTATCGCAGGCTATGTTGTACCAGCCGTTGAACACTACTTACATTCGTAGATATGTTTTTGATCCACTTTCATGGGACCCATCCAAGATATACTATTAAAAATTCAAACAAGAAAAGAAATTTATTCATTCAATGTAAATCAACAAATTGAATGAATATAAAAAAAAAAAAAAATTGGCTTCCTCTCCAAAATTAATTATTCTGATGAAACTTTTATAACAAGCAATAGAGTCAATGCTGAACCACAAATGCAAGCTGTGGAGAACTGATTATAGTCAATGACAGGCTTTTAGTCCATTTTCTCGAAAACCCATCAACGATATGCTACGAATTACATGAAATTTGTCTTCCATTACTTACCAAAAAAAATATACATGAAAATTGTTCATTAAATGAAAACTAATTCAGAGAGTGAAGCTGAACCATGAAAAGAGAGATATATATATAGTACCTTCCAGAGAGAATGGTAGGAGGAAAGTGTACGGTACAACCACGGGCTGACCGGTAAGAGAGAGATAAGGTCTCTCTGAGGAAGTCTCGTGCTCACTATCTGCAGCACACGAGGGACCGTATCTCTGCTCCAACCCATCTCTTCCTCGTCCTCTTCTTCTATTTTTTCTGTTACTTCCATGGGCGATCTGCAGAGAGAGAGAAAGAGAGACGCCTTAGCTAATGTGTGTAAAGGGAAACAGAGACCTCGAGTAGCCTTCCGAAGAAGCAACCATCATCGCCGTGATTCCGTGAAGCCGTCTGAAGGGAATTACCTTACATCGGGGCCCACACTAGTGATGCATCGGTCGTATGACCGTGTAGCCATAAGGCAAGAAGGGTCCGTGGATGAAATATAAGTTATGCATGAAGAATACATGGCGGGCTTTCATGATGAGGCAGGTCGGGACTAGAATTTGTATTTCATTTCTTATTATGGAGAAGTAATAAAAGGCAAAATAACATAAACCAAGCATCAAAATGTTGAATTATTTGGTTGATATATATAGAAAATACATAACTATTTCCGACCTACTGACAGTTTTGCCTTAGTTTGGAGAATAACGTCTTGCCGTCATCTCAAAAGATAGGAATCATCTTGGCAACATATAAGTCCATCTCAAACTTCTTAGATCAACTCGTACTAAGGGCTTCATTGATCTCCGACCTCTGAGGAGATCTCTTTACCGAGACGAGCTCCCACCCAGGAGAGGTCCTTTCTAGCATGATGAGCTCCCTTTCAGGAGAGCTCCATACTCTAACACTTGTCCATCAATTGACCACCTGGAAGCACATGCAACAATATTGTCAACATGTAAGGTGAACTTACCAAGTAACCTATCTCGGGCCCACTTCATGCATTGAAGACATGGAGGACAGATCACCACTATATCACAGCTATGCACTAGGTGGTTAATGCATGTCTCAAGTGGCTAAACAGGTAGCACTGATTAAGCTCTAGGTGCCTGAGCYGAATCCCAAGTGTCTAGATCGGATACCAATTGGCCTGAATCAGGCCACAGGTGTCCGAACCGAGCACTATGTAGTTGAGCTCAAATAGCAGGTAACTTGATAGAGCCCTAGGTGTCTTACCCGAGTTCCACTGAGGCAAAGCAAGCTCCAGGTGTTTCAAGCTACAACAGGTGTCCTTCATCTTCTCAACACATATACACTTTGACAGATATCCCGAATCCTATTTAAGGGGCAGGTTAGCATTCAATTCATACTTTATGACATACTAAGTTCTCAACCACCCTCTAGATTATTCAGTACTGACTTGATCGTCGGAGCTACAAGCCTAGGATATCACCCCGGGCCCTCTGACCTTGTTTCCTTCTTACAGGATATCTCTGAGCTCGTCCAGAGACTTCACCACTTTTCAGCGACATCAACTGGCATCATCTATGGGAATCAGTAACTAAAAGCCATCTCCCCTACTAAATTTTACTCTACCGACATGTCACAAACATCTAGACACACCCTGAGGACCTCTTGCCATTTTTCCGGCGAGACCTCACGAGGGCACTCTCGGTGAACCCCATCTCTAGAGGCATTGGAGGGAGTTTCCTGTGAGGAATTCAATAATCTAGTCCAAATTGTAAAAGACATGAACCTACGAGTTCAAGCCAGAGATGAAATTGTGCAGATTGTGCATCACGCAGCAAGGGATGTAGCAATAGAAGCCATGGTGCAGTAGAACCACCCACCACCACCGGTTGATCAACCAATTCCACTAGTCCAGCAAAATCAGGTCGTGCAACCCGTTCACCAAGTGAACCAGCACCAACCACCTCCACCACCAACTGATCCCCTAGCTTCATGTGATGAAAGACGCCCTAAGCGCAAAGACAAGTTGCCTTTGCGACGTGACTGACATCGGGGTGAATGTGTGAAGAGAAGAGAAGAGGAAGGACGGGACAAGCACAACCAACATTAGCAACCTGAACTCTCTGCTCGACGTTCCCATGCTTCTTATGAGGTGAGCATATCAAACTCCCCGAGAACCCACCAATCACGAACGGTCGAGCAGACTAGGAAGTGGAGGCCGCACACACCGAAGGACCACCAAGGTGAATGATGGGGGCATTTAGATAAGCTAGACTCCATTCACCTAGAGACAATAAGCAAGTCAACTGCTATGGTACCCAACCTAGCTAGAGCATCCCCATTGGTTCCAGATATCCTTTCGAAACCACGACCAAAAGGGGTTTAAGACCCCTACCTTTGAAACTTATGATGGAACCACTGATTCAATGGATCACGTGGAAAATTTTAAGGCCCTTATGTTGTTTCATAGGGCCACAAAAGACAGTACGTTTATGGCATTTCCTAATACATTCAAAAAAGGCAAGCAGAATATGGTACTCCGAGCTGCCACCTCGGTCCATAAGTATTTGGACCCAATTCTCTTATTTATTTATCACTCACTTTGCTACAAGTCACAGATGCCAAAACAACTGTAGTAATGTTAATGCACATCAAGCAAAAACCTAGAGAGAACAAGCTAACAAATACATGAACGCCAAGGAGGCATACTTGATGAAGAAAGAACATAAAGAGAAAAAGCACAAGAGGAATGGTGATGAACGGGAAGGAAGAAAGAAGGCTAAGGGTTCTAAGGGTGAAGGGTTGTCAAATCGCTCTTGGACTCCACCTCGGAAGTTCAAGGTGTATACACCCCTGAACGCCCCCATGGTCAGATTCCGATGCAGATCTAGAAAGAAGAATATCTGAAATGGCCCAAGAAGTTGAAGGGAAACTTGACCAAGAGAAACTAGAAAAAATATTGTAAGTTCCACAAGACAGTGGTACGTGATACTGAGGATTGTTTCAACCTGAAGAATGAAATAGAAGAGCTGATAGCACAGGGTTACTTGAAGCAATTCTTGAAAGACACCCGACCTTTTGAAAAGCAGAAGTAGAAGTAGAAGGAATAGAAGAAGATCTGGGCGACCTCACATAAGGTATAGCAATTATTGTCCATGTTATCGCAGGTGGATCGATAGTAGTAGGATGTAGCCACACTGCGAGAAAAGCTTCAATGAGAGAACTACAAACTGATCTGGAAGGTCGAACTGAGAAGAAACCTAACCACCGAGTTGATCATGTTTATAGACGATGACCTAAAGGATGTTCGATTCCCTCATGACAATGCCTTGGTCGTCCATTTGTTGGTGGAAAACTACCTGGTAAAATGAGTGTTAGTTGATTATGGTAGTTTTACTAATGTGTTGTTTGTATCTGCTTTTGAAAATGAGATTAGACAGAAAATGACTCACCCCAACTGATCAACCTCTGGTCAGGTTCTCAAGAGAAACGATCATGCTACTTGGCAAGATCTGCCTACCAGTAACAGCGGGGACCGCGTCAAGATAGGCTACTATGATGACAGAATTCTTAGTAGTTGATTCACCTCCCTACAACATCATAGTAGGGAGACCACTACTTCACTCCCTTCACGCCATGGTTTCAACATTTCATTTGGCGAGGAAGTTTCCAATAGAACACGGCATGGGGACAGTCTGAGGAATCCAGATCGAATCTTGGCAGTGCTACATTGTGGTGCTAAAGGGAAAACAACCCATCAAAGAGAAGAAGCCAAGGAAGACAAAGAAGAAGTCGTCTAAAGGCAACAAGAAGACCACGATAGAAATAGTCGATCTGGACTGACCTGTTGATGAGAATGCCAACCGAGCTCATCCCATCGAGCCAATAGTGGCAATGCCCATCTCAGCAACTGAGCCTGAAAAAATAGTGCAGATCGGCTCTCTCCTTCCTCTAGAACAACGAGATCGGTTGGTAATTTTATATTTAAATTCTGATGTTTTTGCTTGGTCTGTGACTGATATGCCAGGGATCGATTCTTCAGTCATAACTCATAGGCTTAATGTTGACCTGAAAATTAGACCTATAGTGCAGAAAAAGCGGAAGTTCGCCCATGAATGACTAAAGGCAATCGAGGAAGAGGTCGAGAAGTTGTTGGATGTTGATTTTATCAGAGAGGTCGAGTATCTGGGCTGGGCTAGCAATGTGGTGCTCGTCAAGAAGGCGAATGGGAAATGGTGAATCTGTAAAGACTACATCGACCTGAACAAAGCCTACTCGAAGGACTGCTTCCCGTTACCTCGAATTGACCGCCTAGTTGATGTGACTTCATGCTATGAATTGTTGAGCTTTATGGATGCATTCTCGGGATGTAATCAAAATTTGATGGACCTAGCAGATATCAACTTTAAAAGGATAGTGCACATGGAGGATTTGAAGCGACCAATATTTTGGATATATCTACTATCGAGGTTGTTCCAGTGTTGGCACCTGAACCGAGTTGGATGGACTCGATTTTGAGTTATCTACAGACAGGAGCTCTGCCCTCAGATCAACTATAGGCAAGACAGATACAAAGGAGGTCAGCTCAGTACATGACCATTAAGGACTAGTTATACAAGAAGTCATTCACCTAGCCCTACCACAGATGTCTTWAACCCTTTGAGGCCGAATGTGTGCTCTAGGATATACATGGAGGAATGTGTGGGGCACACACAGGAGGCAGGTCGCTAGCACAAAAATCTCTATAGCAAGGATACTACTGGCCTACCATGAAAGCAGACGCGCTCGGCCTTGTGAAGGAGTGTGATCGTTTCCAGCGTCATGCTAACGTACCTCTTCAGCCCGTTGCCGACCTCTAGTATCTAGTTAGTCATTGGCCTTTTGCTCAGTGGGGGATTGACTTACTAGGACCCTTTCTAGCAACATTAGGACAATGGAAGCAACTCGTTGTTGCCATAGATTATTTCACCAAGTGGGTAGAAATCGAGCCACTGGTCGTAATTACTTTATGGAACATACAGAATTTCGTCTGGAAGAATATTATTTGTAGGTTCGGTTTACCATGGGTGCTCATCTAAGACATTGGAAAACAGGTTGACGACGTTGGATTTCAGAACTAGTGCAGAGAGATGGGCATCCACCAATAGTTCACCTCGATCAACCACCCACAAACTAATGGGTTAGTCGAGGTGACAAACCGCACATTACTACAAGGACTAAAGACTCGGCTATAAAGAGCTAAAGGTTGGTGGGTTGAAAAACTACCAAGTGTGCTATGGGCATACAAAACAACAAGTCGAACAACTACAAGAGAGAGACCCTTCAACCTAGTGTATGGGACAGAAGCAATAATTCCAACTGAGCTAAAGTGCCTATACTACGGACCGAGACTTATAAGGAAGACCTCAATGATGACGAGCTCAGGAACAACTTGGACTTAGTTGAAGAGACAAGGGACCAAACTCACATAAGGACAACTGCATATCAACAACGGGTAGCTCGGTATTACAATGCCCGAGTCCACAAGAAGAGTTTCAGAGTGGGTGACCTTG